CAGAAATGCAGCTGTTGAAATGAATGAATGTGACTTGGACACCCAGGCTGGGGAGGGCACCTGCCACCAGGCTGGTGGGGAGGCCTGAACGATCCTCAGTGTACTTGCAAAGCTGGAGGGAGAAAGCTGAGGCTGCCCAAGCGAGGGCAGCAGGGCCTGTGCACAAAACAATGCCATGATTCATCTGAGATTGCCATAACCCATCGCATTTCATCAGGATGCTGTGGCATTTAAAATGGCATTTCCTCCCATCTGCTGTGCATTAGCAGACAAAGAAAAAGGAGGAGGGGGGAGAGAACAGCAAAACAAAGGGGGGGGGGGGGGAAGAATAAAACGGGATTCCTGAGTCAGACTGTTCCCAAAGCAGCTCCTTGTCCTTGCAAAGCCCGAGCCCACTGGCTGGGCAGAGGACAGTGGCACTGGCCACAGACAATCCTGCCCCCCAGCGCTCCCTGGCTGCAGCCAGCACGGTGCCCTGGCACGGTGAGATCTGCTGTGACTCAAATCCCTGCCGAGCAGCACCTGGCAACCCCCTCCACACCCTGAGCTGCCCAAGCAGGGGCCCCACTGAGCAAATCCCCACAGGCTAATTTCATCATTTCCTCTGCTTCTCAGCCCTCCTCAGATTTTCCTTTGCTTCGTACCTCCCTCCCCTGACTCATCTTCCTTCCCTTGCAAATAAGAACCCCTTTCTCTGTCCCTTCACTGCTCCCCCTGTGCCTCTCTCTGCTCCCACCTTCTCCCCTCACTGTACCTCCACACCTTTCATCTCCATCCACCTCCTGCACCTTGTCCTGCCCCATCTCCACCTCCTCCACATTCCTTTCTCTGCTCAGCCCAGGTGGTGCTCCCAGGGCTCTTTCCAGGAGGCAGAGGGCTCTAAGCTCTTTTGACAGGGCACTCCTAGCAGGGAAATTCAGCTCAGCTTCTGAAGTGGGCCATGAAGATTATCCTTCTAAACATGACTTGCACTTTTAGCCAATGCTCTGATCCACGAGACACATCAGAGTGACTTGTTGGGGGTCAAAAGGGTCCTGTCCTGGGCCACCAATCCCACCCTGCTCTGGAGCCAAGGCAGGAGCATCGTGCCTGCAGCTCACATTCTAGATGGCATCAGCAGCCATGAAACATGTCAGGTGAGGAGCTGCTGCAGCTGAGGAGCAGCCAGAGCAGTTTTCCTCTTGTCCCTGCTCCACCACCATGATGTAAACACCAGCAGCCAGAGGCAGAAACTTCCTTGGGCAAACAGCCTGGGACCTTCCCACATTTAGACCCCACACGTGCTGTGTACCACCCTGCCTTGTGATCCCCATGGATCACAGTCCCTTCATTCTGCAAGCCCTCAGCATCATCAGGCATCAACAACCCCATGTGGACCAAACAAAAGGCAAGAGCGTGACAGGAGATGTGTCCCACATTGCTACCACACATGATGTGCCAGGGTGGACAAAGACCTGAAGCTTGGAGAGCAGCCAGTGTCCCTGCAAGCCCAAGGGTCCTGCAGACGTGCCTGGGGGCTGTCAGCTCCTGCTGGGGAAAACGCAGCAAGGACAGAGCTCCCCAGCCTGCAGGCACACTCCCTGACCCCAGGCTTGGCTGGGACACAAGCAGTCATTCAGAACGGAATAGGTGTGGACAAGTTTGACCCCAAGCAACAACCAGGGAGCCTGTGAAAGTGGCAGCAAGCAAAGACCTCAGCTTGTAGGCTGAGGGCAGGGAAGGGCTGTGTGGTTATTAGCAGACTGAGCTGAGCTGGCTCCTCAATTACAGCTGGTTTATCCTGTCTGGACTTCCAACAGCTTCCTCCGATCCCTTCGTGACTCAGTGTCTTGGCATGGAGAACACATACCCGAGAGGTTGGCTTTTGAAATCCACCAGGGACATTTCACCTTCCTAAAATAAAGAGTGGGCAAAATATTTTCAACCTCCTTCCAAAAACTGTGCACACAAAATAAAATACCACTCCTTAATAAGCGCGTGTTGTCGGGTCTCAGCTGGTTTTGGGCTGGGGTAGATTTTCCTGGTTATAATCATGCAGCTGTTTGCTGACTGAATAGCTGTATTTATTTTTTGACATGTTTACTAACCACCTCAAATACCTTCTCTACCTGTAATTGTGGTGCAGCACACATATTATTTTTTTTCAGATTTCTTCATTCAAGTGGGTTGTGTTATTCCCAGGCCCTGCACTGAGGTTTGTGGAGCGTATTCGTGGTTTGAGGGAATGAAGCTTTGGACTCAGGTGACCCTGAACTATGGCAGATCAGTGAGGAGATACTTGGTGGGGGCAGGGGGAAAATTGAGTCAATTTTTCAAGCCATTTGGGTGCTCAGAACTCTAAAATCCTCTATTTGCCTTTCTCAAACAGTCTCTTGTGAAAGCATTTCCTCCCATTTGTGCCCATCTATCTTCCTCCCTTCCAGGTTTTATTGAAGTTGGTCAAAGCCAAACCCTTTATGCTTTCTAGTGCATGAGCCACGGAGAACAGGGGAGGCCTGAAAATGCAGCAGAGGAGGGGCTAACTGCATTCCTGGCCCCCAAATGCTGGGCTGCTTTCCCCGGGCACCCTGTAAAGAACCGTCAGAGGGCTCTGGAAAAGCCGGGCTGGCAGAACACCTCCAGCCCCACCCTGCAGGGCTGTGCTCCCTCTCCTGCCCTCCCTGACCTGAGGGTCTCCTTGCCTTGTCCCACCCCTGCAGGTTAGCAGGATGTGCTCCCCTCCTTTGTCTCTCTGCTGGCATCTTGATGATTTGCTAATCTGGTCACCTGGCACCCTCCCGGTGCTTAATGTCCCACCCACCCTCTGCCCAGACCTCTCCAAACAGTGCTTTTGCAATTCCCTGCACCACACAAGCCTCCATTAATAGTTTGACATTTGTCTCAAGATGTTTGGAGAGTCTTGCTGCCCAGGAGAGACCCTGAGCCCGGGGCAGCAGCTCCTCTAATCACCAGGGCTAGTGTTCAGATTTGGGATTTTTTTTATTTAAATAAACAAAGCAAACTGAGCAATTCCTGGAGGTATAAAGCCAATCCAGACCATGCCAAAGTAGGTCCAAAGCTGTTCATCCATATTCCTGCAGCAGACAGAGCTCTTTTGGGGCTCCAGGGGCTCACTCTGAACCCAACCTCACTTTCAGAGGCCATGAACAGCACCCTCAGGCTGCCTCTGTCCGCTCAGCCCCATCCACAGCCTCCCCAGGAGACACCCTTCTCTCCTCTCTGCCCTGGGATGCTTCATCTGGCTTTTCCTCTCCAGGAAGGGCCACAAACCAGCCCACCAGCTGAGACGTCGTGCCTCAGGTCACCTCAGAGCAGCCAGAGCTGTGCTGGGACAGCTCGTGGTCCAGCCACCCCATCACGGTGTGTGCTGAGGCCACACTCACACCAGGCTGCAGTGACCACTGGAGCAGGGGGAGGTCAGCCCCAGAAAGGGCTGTCCAGGTCTGAGATTCATTTACAGGAGCTGTAAAACTGCCACCTGGACTGTGCCTTTACAGCCTTGGACTGTGCTGGTGTCAAAGATGTTTGGTGCAGGAGCCAGCTGGAGCCAGGCCAGTTTTATATTTAATCCTGCCTATGAATACAAATGCAGGGTCTGTGTTTCGAATGAGCGACAGGCGCACCACGGACATTATTAAACCTTCCAAAAATAAACCCCTGCCAAAGTGATGGGAGCCAGATTTTTCCTGGAAAGCATCAGCACGGGGTGAGGGGTGCTGGTGGGGCAGCCCCTCCCTCACAGGCCCCTCTCCAGCAGCTGCTCTGCATCAGGAGCAGCTTCTTCCCCCTGCCCCTTTGCTTATTTAAGCCCCACAAACGCCAGCGTGGTTCTTCCGAGCAGCTCAAAGTCCACTCAGCACTGTTAGGAAAATTAATCCACAAACACCAGGGGTTTATGTCCAAAAAGGAGGCAGAGGAGTCCTTTCGGCTTTATTCAAATAAAGGGAAAGGCCATGGGGCATTCCCCTGGGATCTCTCAATTTTTGGAGGATGCAGCCTCCCTTTTTATCCTAATTTCCCAGCCACATTTCCCTTCTCTCTTTCCTCATTGGCTGAGATACTTGAGAGGTACAGACTCCCTGATACACCTGATACTAAAGATTTCCCAAAGATTTCCCTCTAATGTATAACCCTCCCTCTTAATTTTTAATTCTTAAGGAATTTAGGGGTTTTTCTTTCCCATTGTTTCTTTCATCTCTCAAGGTCTAATTTCGTTTATCAGCAAACCTGAAGTTTATTTGTAAAAGCAAATCTCTTTTTCCATTCACCAACCAGTGGAATCCTTCCCATTGTTTCTTTCATCTTCCAGCGCTAGTTTTACCTACCAGCAGACCCACAGCTTGTTTGTAAAGACAAATCCGCTATTCCTCTCAGCACTAAATCAGCTCTGCGAATTCTCCTTCAGAGCATTTTGGATGAATCTTAGGGAAAACTGCTCTGAAATATATAGAATTACATAGGGAAAACTGCTCTGAAATATATAGAATTACATAAGGTGTTGCTGAGGCAGCCCCGCTGGTGGGAGGCTCGTCCTTCCCCCGCCGCTCTCTGCTCGCCCCCATCTCCCGCCCAGGGCTGCGAGGGGCCCGGCTCTGGCCATGGGGTGAGACCCCGCTTTCCCTGCTCTCCATCTCCCCCAGGGCGGTGGAGGGGCCGCCGTGGGCTGGCCGCCCTTTCCCTGCTCAGCATGCCCCGCCAGAGCGACGCGGGCACAGCGTGAGGGGACCCCGCTCTTCTTTGGCGCCCTCCCCAGCCGAGAGGTGTGAGGGAACCTCATGGGGTGAACCCCCCCCGCTATTCCGTTCTCCCCAGTTCCCACCGGGGCGTCATGGGAGACCCCATGGGCTCTTTCTCTCTTCTTTCCCCCGGGCCGACTCCCCGTGAGGTGACAGACCGCTCCCACCGGTGCCCCCCCGGCCACTCCCGGCACTACGTTTCCCACGGGGCCGCGCGGCGGAAGCGGAAGTGGCGTCTCTCCGGCGCGGCACGCGGGCCGCGCCATGGCCGCCGACGGCGGCGGCGGGCGGGAGCTGCTCGCCCTCATCCACCAGCACCTGCTCCGCGGCGGCTTCGCGCGGGCCGCCCGGGAGCTGCAGGCGCAGAGCGGGCAGGTAACGGGCGGCCGGGCCCGGGCCGCGGGAGAGGCAGCGGGGACGCGGTCCCGGAGCGCGGGCCTCGGCGGGGCCGCACGGCCCGGTCCCGGTTCGCGCCGTCACCGACCACCGGCAGCGCCACGTGGGTGCCGGGCGCGCCGCGGGCCCTCGGTTCCACGGCGGTCTGCAGGTCCGTGCTGGACCCACGTGGTGTCCCGGCACCCAGCGGGCGCTCCCGGTGCCCGCGGGCCGGGCCGGCCCCGAACCGGCTGGGGAGAACGCTGGCAGCCCGCCCGGTGGAGGCTCCGGTAGCGGGGGACTGCTGCTCCCCGAACACGTGCGGCTCCAGGAGAGGTCTCCGGGGAAACACGCGGCCCTGGGTGCCGCGGGGCGGGGAGTGGGAGGGATTCACCGGGAGGTGTGTGCCGGGAGCGCGGTCCCGTTTTCGGGGGAGGGTTGGATGGGCCCTGCGGTCACTGTTCTGTCTGGTGGACACATCCCGAAACTGGGATTGGGCCGTGCTTGACTGGTGTTCGCTCTGCTTTCACAGAAATTGCTCCCTTCCCTCTCGACCTCTCTCGAGGACATCTTTACCCACTGGGAAAAGTAAGTCACAGGAGGGAATGAGTATCAAATAGATGGCAAGACTGTGCTGACGTCTAGGCTGCATGGCATGAGTGATTTCTATTTGTTGGAATTCCACGTTGTCAGAGGATTTCTGGTGATAACTGTCCTCGGTAGAATTCTCTCCTAACCTTTGGTTTCACAGCAATTCATTTCACATATTCAGGATTATGCTTGGAGATAAGTTGTTATTTTATTTTTGAGCAGCTGATGCTGTTTATGCTGGTTGATGCTGCAGTGTTGTGGAGCTCAGAGTCATGCTTTACTGTAAGAAATCTATTCCAGTTCTGTTTCACTTTCTTTTTAAAGCCACGTGCTTTGCAGGATTATTGACCCGAGAACAGAGGAGTTGAGCAGGTGCTGAAATGCCAGAGCTCTTGCACGGACTTAAACCTTGGCATAGATCACAGATGCTGTGACTCAGAGGAAATCTCTTGGTTTCAGCCTGTCCTTTCAAGTCCTTACACGTTCCAAACGCCTTCCTGCACCCTTACCCCCCTTTGAAGGTCTGCAGGAGGGAGCCTTCCCATCTGTGATGTTTGCACCCACCCTGTGCCTTGGTTGGATGTTGAGTGCTGCTGTGGCAGCCTCAGTGCTGGGTTATCTGGGAATCTGGGGGTTAGGAGCTCTGGACTGAGGATCTTCTTAGCATGGCTGTGTCAGCAGCCTGGGGAAGAGTTTTTTTCAAAGGTGTTTTCTGCTCAGTGCCTCGTGCCTTGCTCTGGTCCTCCATACCTGAGCAGGAGAAAGGCTGGATGTAGATGAGGATGTGGCAGCATAGAAATGGGTTTGCAGTTCCTCCCTCTCACAGTTTGTTGCTCTCCTGGGTGCTGATGGTGACCTTCCCTCATGCTGGTTATCCTGCCTGCTGCAGCAAACCCTCCCAGACACTCTTGCTTTTAAACTTAAGGGGCAACAGGGCATTTGCATCAGGTTTGATTCCTCTTTCTTCCCCCTTCTGTCCTAATCCTGCCCCACAAAGACATCTGTCTGTTATTCCTGGTCTGCCTGGTTGGGAGTGAAAATGAGGGATGTGTTGGCCAGTATCTATCCTGGAGTGCTCCTGTGGGTGAGCTGTCTTTATCACATCCTGTTGCTTCATGGGCTTTTAGCCCAAAAATGTTCTTCCTTACCCTGTGGCTCTTGCCCTTCTCACCAAGGCCACCCTGGTGCTGTTCTCCAGAAACTCTTCCAGACTGAAGAGCCTGAAGCTGAGATTTGCAGTTCCACAAGTGACCTCCCTCCAGAGCTGCATTTACACTTGGAGGATGCAGAGAGGGGTTGAAAGGGTGCCTGGGAGCTGGGGAAAGCTGGACCAGCCCAGCCCTAGGAACAGCCTGAGCCCTGCAGGCCTCAGATATTCCAGAATGCCACAGGGACAGTGCCAGCAGACACCATTTCTTCCCCTCACAGGGTATCCCTAAGTTCCTGGTCACTCACAACAAATTCTCACATCACTCTGTGCTGTGCTGTCAGCTGCCACTGGATCAGAATGGTGTTGCAGGATGAGAGCTGCCTTGTTGCTTTATTAAAAGATTATTGGAGTAGTTACAGGACTTTCTAAGGGCAAACGTGCCTTTGGCTTAGCCTGCTTGCACAAAACTTGCTGTTACAGCTGTGCTGCCAGAACACTCTGACACCAAGCACAGCCTTTACTCATCAGATTGTTAAACTAATCCTGTTTTTAAAACAGATGAACAAATAAAATGGGCTAAACAGAAGTGAGGATATTTGCTTCTGATAACTGTGTGTCCCAGGGCTTAGAAGCATTGCCTGTGTGAGTCACACCAGCATGTTCCCAGTATTACCCTTGTAATAAAGCAAATGTGTTATCTTTAATTCTCAAATGAAAACATGGGTAACTTTAGCCACATCATCTCTCCTGGTACAGTTAGGATTTAGAGCCTGGAGAAATCTTTCTCCAGCTTAATGTTTGAACCCAATTGAGCAGCTTAAGTGTTTAATACTTATGTGTCCTTTTCCTCCTCTTTTACTAACACATCTTCTGTAGGTCCAGCCACTTCCTTTCTTAAACTTCTCTGCAACCTGACTTTCCTTTTGACTTGGGAGCCCAAGTTCAAATGGCTTTTGTACCCTTTAGATTGGCTTCTCCTGGCCCTGTGGAATGCCAGGACCTGGTATTTTGGGGTTATCTGCCCTAACCCTGAGGCTACACTTACTCTGAGGCTGTAGCCCTTGGAGAAAGAATTTGTTCTGTAGGATGCCTTCTATCGAGCACCAGCCTGACTCTGTATGTTTTTATTTCTCTGCTAAAGTAAGAAGGAGTCTGCCTAGGGCACAGAAAAATCATCTAGGTTCTGTATTTACCTGAATGTTGCAGGAATATGTTGCTCTTGGAAGTTTACTGTGTTTCCCACCCCCCTTAGGAATTCCTCTGTAGAGAAATTACAGTGCCTATTCTTAGGCTGGAGCCTGATCTGAGAGTAAATGAATAATTATATTCTAATTTGTTCAAGATATTTTTTCCCCATTTTGACACCTATTGTCTTCCCTCAGAACTCCACCAAATTCCAAGAGAAGAAATGTGAGTGATGAGGAGGCAGCGATCCCAGAAAAGATCAGAGTTCCTGATCCCGTGAGCAGCTCTGAGAGCTCAGAGAAAGAAGAGGATGAGAAAGAGAAGGCAAAAGCTGCAAATGGTAGGAGCCTTTCATCCCCCTGGAGCTGACAGGGTAGGGCTGGAGACTTGTTTAGGAACAGCCCAGCTTGCTTGGCTGGAGAAAATGCTTGTAAAGTGATGGCTATTTATTTGTGCTCATAGAAAAATAGGACAACTAATTTAGCATCCCCTTCTCATGTGGAGTTTCTGAGGAGCACAGATGTCTGCTGAGGCTAGAAAAAACCTGTTATGATTCATTGGGGAGGGATGGGTGTTGTGCTGGGTGATGAAGCTTTGGGAACCTCTTTCTGCCCACTATGGAGCACCTCCTAGTTGGTCCCAGGTGTGTGTTGGGCCAGCAAAGGCAGGTCTGTTTCATGGATCAGGGAAGGTCTTGATTGTTAGTCTGGAATGCCAGTGCCCTCTGTCTGAAGTGGGGATAGATCTTGGGTGCAGCTGATGTGGGAGGTGTCGGCTTGCAGAGTCTAACAAAAACTTGTGTCTGATACATTTTGGCAGATCAGTCTGATCTGCTGTATACCAGCCTTTAGAAAAGTGCAGATCTTGACAGATTCCCTGTCTTGGTGGCTGGGAGAGGGATGGGGTAGAGGAGCAAAGTCCTTGCCTGTCTTGGGGACAGCAGTGGTGGTGGTCTTGGGTCAGGTGTGTAGATGGGACCCTGCCCTGCTGCTGGGGCCCTCCTGCAGACCAGAGACTGTGTTGGTGTGAGAAACACACTGACACAGCTGCTCTGTGGCTCTCTCCTGTGCAGCAGCCAGCCTTCCTCTGGCCACGAACTCGGTAGTCAATATAGAAAGCAGTGAGGAAGATGAGTCCTCATCAGAAGAGGAGGATCTGGCTGGGAAAGGTGCAGTGACGGTAAGGCAACGCTCAAGGCTGTCAAGGCTGGTGGTACTCTGAGGCCAGGACTGTCCCATGCTCCTCAGCATGTGTAGAATTGTGTCCTGGGGTGGAAATCATGTTTAAATGACCCTCCTCTGCTGCCATAAGCCTTTTCTTAGATATCTGTCCCCCAAGCACTGTCCTGAAGAACTCTATGGCTTACCTTGCTGCCACATTACTGTTGCAGGTACATTGTCTCCAGTTTAGTTCCCCATCTGTGTTTAGCCTTCTAAGTTCCTTTATTTCCCATAGGTGACAGCAGCTGTGGTGGGTGGCAAAGCTGCCAACTGCCTGCATTCCCCTCCCAAGGCTGCTGCCCCAGCAGGCAGAGCAGAGGCGCTCTCTGCTGCTGACAGAACTGTGCTCTCCAACAAGCAGCAGCCCAATGCCCCAGCTGCAGCTCCATCCCCAGCCAAGGCCCAGAAACTGCCTGGTCCTGGAAAGCCTGGACATGCCACAGCAGCTGTGGCCAAAGTAGGACAAAGCAAAGCACCAGTACCAACCAAAGCACCAGAAAGTTCCAGCAGCAGCAGCGGCTCCTCATCCGAGAGCGAGGAGGAAGAGGAGACACCGACTGCAAAGGCCCCAGCCCCCAAAGCTGGTAAGGAGCCTGCAGGGTGGTGTAGATGTGTGTGAGCTCCAGCTCTGCTGCAAATTGGATCAGAGACGTGCCTTTAGCTTGTTCCTTTCAGCTCCCTTGCTGGAAAGCTGAGAGTGATGCTTGTTCCTTGGGGAGGCTGCTAGAACATTGCAAAGCAGCCAGCTCTGGAGCTCCGTGGGATGAGCGCAGCGTGCTTGCTCCCATTTCAAGCAGCAGATCCTGTGCTAAGATGTCTGGCAGCACCCAGCACGTACCCAGGGGTTGGGGCTAACAGTGTAGCATGTCCGGAGGAGGTGCAGTACTAATGCTGCTGATACTTTCAGCTTTATGGAAAGGCCCTCCAGTGTTTTCTCTTTATTCCCAATTGCAAAGTGATTCGTTTTGGGGTTTGAAATCTTCAGGGAAATCTTTAAATGCTTTGAAGTGTGTCTGTGTGTGTTGGGGGAGGAGGGTGAGAAATAGATCATTAAAGTTCTGGAAATGATCCTCCTCTTGGCTCTTATCCAGAGGAGGCCCAGCCAGGCTGGGTGCCCCTGCAGGGAGCTGTGTTTGGCTGGGCAGCACCCCATAGGGTCAGAGGGTGGCCAGGCAGCATTTCCCATCTCTGCCTGCACTCAAGGAGAGGTGTTTGTGGGTCAGCATTTGTCTGGAGAAGCTGTTCCCAGCAGCCTATTGATGTTTTCAGCAAGGCTAGGTCCCCTTCCCTGCAAATCCCCTTAGCCCTCTCTGTGGCTTGTTTTGCTTCCCTGACTTCAAAAGCCACATTAGCATCACACTCTGGGGGCCCAGAGCAGGCAGCAGCTGTGACATCTCCTCGTTGTGTTTCAGAGCCGGCAGCTGGGGCTGAGAGCAGCAGTGAGGAATCAAGTGAGGACACATCCTCTGAGGAGGAGCTGGTAATTCCAGCCATCCAGGTAACCTCTCCAGCACGGATTCTTTGTCCCTAGGAAATCACTTCCCTTCTTTTGAAGAAGAGAGGAAATGCTGCAGTGCTGTATTCTGACAGCATCCCTTACCTTGGGTGTTTGAGATCCCCAAGACCAGAGCATATACCATGTGGCTGAGAGCCCCACTAAACCCTGCCAACACCAACCATTCTATTCCAGTTTTTTCTAGTGCCTGAGGCTGAGGGAGATCCTTGGATCTGTAGGAGGTGATTAGTATGCAATTTGATGGATATAGTCAGGCAGTCCATGGAGAAAATGACTTGCTTCAGATAAGCCACAGCTCATGGGTCTGGAAAAGCCTGTCCTGGTCAAAATTAGCAATGTAGCTGGCTTTAAAACAGATTCCATGCAGTTAGAACTTTCAACTATTTTCTTCTAAGGTGTTACCTGATTCTCCTGTTCCCTTTTGTTCCTCCTGTTCCCAGGCCAAGCCAGCTGTGAAAACAGTGCGGTCTAATGCAGCACCTGTGAAAAGTGCACCTGCTGCTTCAGTGTCCCTGAAGAAGAATGCAGTGAAACAAACAGCCCTGGCAGCAGGCCAGGCCAAACCAACATCAACAGCAGCTCCCAGGGCTGCACAGCCCAGTGACACAGCAGAGAGCAGCAGCTCCTCAGACAGTGAAGATGAACGTCCATTGGTAACCCAAGTGCCTGTCTCTGAGATCCTCCCTCTCCTTGCATGCCTCTCAGGGCTAGGAGCTGCAGTGAAAAGAAAATTTTGTAAATGCATGTAGTGTGTAGCAAAGTCATGTTGGGGGTGGGAGGAAGGAGGCATGAGTTGTTAAAAGGCACCTCCGTGTCTTTGCTCTGAGCTTTAATCAACCCATTGTGCCTTTCTTAGAAAAACCCATCAGTACCTTTAAAAGAAAGAAAAACCCAGTGATTCTTTTCCCACCTGAAGAGGCAAATTAGCATGGTGGAATTTGCTTCTCAGGTATAAATTGCAATAAATAGTGTCTAATTTGTCAAACTAGTGCAGCTCAGCTTCCCTACTGTGGAGATTGCAAAGTGCTGCCTTGTACCTCACTGGGGGGGACTGGTAGTAGCAGCAGACTGATGAAGAGAGCCAGTTCCTTGTGTTCTGCCAGTCACTAATCTTCCTTCAGGATTTGCCTTTCCGGGGGGGCTCTGAAATTTCTTCCCTTGATTATCTGAGCAAATTAATTATACTGCTGTGGGATTTGCCTTATTTCACTCTGTTCATGTCTTGTCCAGACAAAGCCACCTCCAAAATCCTCCCAGGCCATCCTATCCCCAGTGAAACCTACAACAGCAGCATCACTGCCTGTCAAAGCAACTCCAGTAAAAACACTTCCAGTGTCCCAAGGGAAGGCAGCACCAAAACCAACAGTGCCCAAACAGGTTAAAACCTCACTGGGAAAGACTGCTGCTCCCACGAAGCCTGCTGAAAGTAAAAAGCCAGTGGAGAGCTCTGCCTCATCAGCCACTGAAGAGGAGGACCTCCCTGTGCCCATCAGCCAGAAGGTAGGTGCTGCATTCAGCCCAGTGCCAAGGCATGGAGTATACAAAGACAAGGGTTTATCCCTTAAATGCTGCCACTGATCTTGAAACACCAGGAGTACCTTGTTTCTCACTCCCTCAGAGAGGAAGATCTTTCTAGTTGGAGGCAAGTACAGCCTCACTCTTCTCACACAGGTGTACCAGAGGAGGTGGGAGGCAAATGGTTTGATGCCAGCTATTCACTCGTGCCCCTCTGGAGTGGCCTTGTGTGCAGGGTCACAGGTATCTTGGTCTTGGCTCTCCTGTGGGGTTTGTTCAGAGTTCTCAAACCAAAGGAGAAGGACTGGGAGCTTACAATGGACTCAGGTGGCTAAATTCAAAGGGATACAAATCCCTTCCTGAGAGCATCCCTAGGCACATTGTACTGAGACCTTCTGCCTCAAGTCTGAGCTGCAGGGGCCTTCAGAAAGTGCCCTGAAAGCAGTCTTCAGGAGATGCAGCCTTACTGTCTGCAAGGGAGGAAGGGAAGCTGGGGGTAGAGCCTCACGTGTCCTTGCAGGGAGGCTCTTTGTCAACACGTCCTTTGACTATTGACAGGCAGGAGCCAGCAAGGCTCTGCATTTTTGTCTTCATAGCCTTGGTCTGCTAAGGTGGGTGGAGGGGGATGTTTCTCTCACAGTTGGCTCTGTGCTGCTCTCTTCCTGCATGATTGATTATATGTGAAGATTCAGCTCTAGGTGACAGGAGCAGCTATTTAATAGCTGTGCCATGAGGTCCCACTGTAAAACCATAGAGAATTGTCCATTTTAGCAGGATTTATGTGCTGGGGTAGGTTTGTGTCCTCCGGTTTGGTTCTGTGAAGCTTTCAACAGCAAGTTTTACCTGCTGATTTAACCACTTCAGCATCTTCCCTCTTGCAAACTGACATGTACCCCTCCACAGCCAGAGTGAGCAAGGAAGAGCTTGTCATGGAGGGAGCTCTATTTTTGCTATACAGGCTGTTCCTTCCCTTGTTAGTAGCCTACAGGCAGGGACCACGAGTGAAGCCTGAAGATAAACCATTGGGCTTAGCTGTGTCCACAGTCCTGTCCTCCCAGTCAAACTCTTCTTAGCTCATTCCTCACCATCTGCTACTTGGGCATATGCTAACCACTGACTTACTGTATCCTGCAACTTCCTCTGGCTTCTGTGCAAGATCCAAACAGATACAGAGCGTTGGAAGCTGCTTCATCTTTCCCTGTGGGGGTGGATTAGCACAATTAAAATGAACATCATGCCTAAATTGAACTGCTTAATTGGTATGTTTACCCCTGAAGACTCAGGAATATTTAGTCAAAGAAGTTGACAAGGTGTTTGCATATTTTGGGGGGACAGGGTAGTGATGGGGGACAGTCTGATCTTAAAGATGCTGTGAGCTGCTTTTCTTTTGGAACTGCTAATTTTGCTCTGCTGCTTCTTTCCTGAGTGTTTTGAGCCAAAGGTGGCACTTGAGCCCTCTATAGACAGGCTTTGGCTTCTGTTTACAAGGAGTGGGTGTGAGGTACACGTGCATCCATGTGTTGGGAACCCGTGTCTTCCTTGAGCATCCCAGGAAAACCCGCGTGGGTTGTGCTGACAGAAGTTGTGCCAGCAACTTTTAATCTTGGACTGCAGGCTGCGTGGGGAGAGGCCAAGTCTCCCAAGAGACAGAGGGTCTCTTTTCCTCCTTGAACGCTGTTCCCTCTCCTGTGCAGGTGGCAGTTGCCCCTTGGCTGGGCTGTGGCACAGCTGAGGTGCTGCTCCCAGTGCTGGTACAGGCAGTGCTCACACAGGCAGTGCTGGAGTGTGATTTTACAACGTGCTGGGCACACGTGGCTCAGTGTTGTTCCTCCTCTTGTCATGCAGCGCTGCAGGATGCAAATGGACCCAGCGAGTGGCAGATGGGTTGTGCGGGAGCTGAGTCATCACACTCACTGAGCCACAGGCAGCTCCTGCTTTGGGGGCTGGAGAGGGAGCAGGAAAAATGATTTCCTCTTGAGTTATTTTCCTCCTCTCTGAGTTACTTCAGTACCTGTGACTCTCAAGCTGTCAGGAGCTCTCTGCCTGGTTTACCTGCTCCCTGGATGTAACTTGGCTGTGCTGTTGGCCAGATCCCACCTGAGACTGTCATCCATTTGATGTGGATGGATGGACCTTGGCTGCCTCCCAGGAAGTTCTGAGGCTGTGTAAACCTTATGGTGGTTTCTGTTATGTTCTTTCTGTGTGTGATGATGCCCCTGCGTGGCAGCTCTTTCCCACTCCATTGCTAAGTTAGAAAATGGAGCAGCCCTGTGCTGTGCATCCACATAGAGGGAGAGGCCAGACCATTGCTATGAAGCACTTAAAACTCAGTGGGCTCTAATCTTGGGAAGCTCTTCCCTTGCACAGCAGTGTTTAGAACAGCAGAGAGGAGTTAGCACGTTCAGAGCAGTGTGTGTGAATTCTTCTGACTGCTTCAAGTACTTGTGTCTCTTCAGCATTGCAAAGCTGGCCTCTCTCCTGGAGATTGTGACTCACTGGTATCAAAACAAAACAGAGAAGTGAGGTTTGCGGTCCCCCCTTCTCAAGCACTTGTGGAGGTTTCTGTTTCTCTAAAGCAGATTCAAAATGTGCTTGGCTCGTTCAGAGAGCTGTTCTGTAATGGGATAAACATGCAGATGCTGTTGTCTGTTTAGTGTTTGGCTTGGAGATGATAAACAGTGCCCCAATGGCAGCCCATGGCAGGGCTGTGCCAGGAAGCTCAGTGGGATTGGTCCTCCCAAAAGGCTACGCTGGTGCTCTCTGCTGTGGGCTGTGGGGGTATCACTGCATTAGCAGCATAGCAGGGATGGTGCAGCTGGGCAGGAATTTCTCATGGAGCACCAAAGCAGGCTGGCATCACATGCAGGGTGCACAGGGCCTCCCTGCCCTGGCAAACACTGCGTACTCCTTGGCAGAGCAGCCCGGAGATGAGCCATGAGTGGAGTGAATGAGTGGGTGCAGAGCACTGCCAGCCTGGGGAATTTCTGCAGGAGGGGACATTCCCAGACCATTCCACAAGCACTTCCTCTGCTCTGCCACCACTGACCTTCAGTGTGCAGGAGGGGGATCTGCAGCGCTTGGAGAGGAGTCAGGAAGAGAGAGAGTCTCACCTGGCAGTTGTGTATGTGGGGCACAGGTGACTGTGGCTTCCTGGTGCTGACACAACAGGAAAAGTGGCTTGTGGTCTTTCCTGGAGCATCTGAGTGTTGACAGGTGCTGCAGAAAGACACAGCCCAAGTTAGTGTCAGAGGTGTTTTGTTGTCTGGAGATTTCTAAATTCTTAGACCTGTTGACAAATCAGCTTCCAAGTTGAGTTGCTCTGTCTCTGCCTGCCCTGTGTTCCCAACCCTTGTGTCAGCCCCGTGTCTACACTGAGCTCTCCAGCAGCTCTGGGCTGTAGCTGCTCCAGTGCTGTGTCTGAATCTTGCAAGTGTGATGGCCCAAGGCTTCCCAACTCCTACTGATTCCCTGAACTGTGGCTAGGTTGTGCTGAAATGGCTTCCTTGGAGTGGGAGTCTTGGGGTTGCAGTGCTTCTCCTGTCCTCAGCCAGTGTCTCTGTCTCAAGAAAGAATTGCTTTTAGAAGCTTATATGTACTATTAGCCTGTGTGCTCGTGTAAAATGTGCTTGGGCTTTCTGTCAGAAGGAAATTGCTAAATTCAGAGGGATCTATCTACAGCAGCTCAGCCCAGGCAGTGGCCGAAGCCCTTTCACTCATAACACACCAAGGATGGTGAGAATGTTAGTAACAGCTCTGTTAGGGTAAAACAAAACCCAACCTGAGCTGAAACTGCATTTAAACTCCTAAACAACACCTGTACTAATACTGCATTTCTGGGCCTGTGTTTCTTTTTTGTTAAGAGGTTATCAGACCAGCCCAGGCCTATTCCCAACCTGAGCCAGGCTGCTAAAGCTGGGCAGCCTGAAAAAGCAGTGGTCAGCACCTTGAAAAGCCAGGTTTCAGAAAGTGGGAGCAGTGACTCATCTGACAGTGAAGAGGAGTCTCCTGCAGCCCAGGGACAGCCTTCACCAGCTGGTAAGTTGCCTGGTAGTAGCCAGGATCCCTCACCTGTATCTTTATGGGTTTCATACTCTCCCCTGCACATGGAGCAGCTCCTGCTCTTGATAGCCCCAGAGAGCAACTCTTTCTCACAGTGACAACCTCTTACACTTTTCCTGCAGTGAAAACCAATGCTGTGCCCCAACCAACAAATGTGAAAAAGGCACCAACTTCAGCACCAGCCACAGCCCCTCCAGCTGTGGACAGCAGTGAGGATTCCAGTGAGGAGTCAGATTCAGAGGATGAAATAGTCCCTCCTTCCCAGGTGAGGAGCTTGGGCTGTAGTGCTGCACTCTCAGGAGGTCTCAGGAGTTGGGAGGTGGTGGTTGTGCACATGGTGAGCAGTGCAGAGCAGCCTCCCCTTGGCTGCATTAGGTTTCCTTGGCCGTGTCCGTGGGTCTGGCTGACCCCAGCTCTGGGTGCACATCTCAGCCACAGCAATCCTGCAGTGTGTGAGAGCAGTGGAGAGTGTGTGCTCTGACAGGAACGTGAGTAGACACACAAGCCCAGGCTTTCCCTGGGACTCTGTCCCCTCTGCTCTACTCCAGGAATTTGGGCTGAAAAAGCAGCCAAATCCTTACAGGAAGAGTTTTTCCATGACCTGTGTAGTAGCTCCAAGGCAACCCATTGCCTGGTTCCTCACAGACCTCTGAAGTTCTTTGCTTTTCTTTTCCGCAAGCCTTGGGAGGATGGCAGGATCTGCCGTGAGGGTAGCACAGCAGTCCTGCTGCCTTTTAGCTGGAGAGAAGGGAAGGTGACCCCATATCTGTGCTGAGAGCACCCCTGAGTGTCATGGAGCTGATCCCAGCTGTCCCACTGGAGTCTCTTTGTGTCCCCATGCCAGTCCTGCAAAGCTGTGGCTGAGCTCCCTGGGGTCAGAGCTGCCTTGGTGTGAAGCTGTCCACTTGTGCTGCAGTTTGAGCCCAAGAAACCACATTAAAAAACCCACTGACTGAGGAACATGGCTGCTGTTCCACATGATGGTGGCCTGGCTGGTGTTCTGAGCCCAGGGCTTGGTGGCCAAGCTCACTTCATATCCCACACGTGCCTTTGCTGGGGAGGGGGACATTATGAGCACTCAGGAAACCCTTCCCCATGTTGGCCTGAGGCTGTAGCTGGTGGAAAGGCTGTCTCCCTCCAGCTGATGGGCAGGCAGCCATCCTGAGCTCTCCTTGAGTACAGCATGTTTACATTACTGAGATTTTATACAATCATGCAGTTGCTGTAACTTGAGCTTTGTGTGAGAGGGCCGAGAGCTCGCGTTGGGCTGCAGGGCGAGCGGGGCCTGCTCCTTCCCAAGGCAGACGATGTGTGGGGGAAATGTCAGCCCACAAAGGCCCAGCTTGTCACACATCTGCAGGGGGAGAGCTGCTCACACAGCCTCGTCAGTAACACAAACCAGGAGGCTGAGTGCTCCCCTGTGGCTCCTTCTCCCTCTTCTACTGGCATTTGTGTCATGGTCCTGTCCTCAGTGCCTGGTTTCCATGCCCCTGGCCTTTCTATTTTTAACCCCTCTTATGGTAAATTTGATGGGAGGTTTTAAATGTGAGGCAACAAAATTGCTCTTGTTAATTTGACCCCTAATCTGTCTTTTGGCTTGTGGACCTGGAGGCAGATTTTCCCTGTGGTTGGTGTCTTTGTTCATCTTTGTTGCCAATTAACTCTTGCTGTGTGATTTTCAGAGTGTAAAAGACATCAGGGAGTCCAAGTGCCCGCTCTGCAAAGGTTTACAGCTGCAGACTTGCTGGTGCTGCAGTGGGTAGGGATTCACAGCCTGCAAGCACAGCACATTTCCCCTGCCTGCCCTCAGGGTAGGTGCCTTTGGGGCACTGAGCTAATGCTTTTGGCACTTTTGGGGTGCTGGCCCTCATTTCTGCTCCTGGCTGTGCCAGAGGCCTTGCTCAGAGGCTCATGGAAGGCAGAACTGGTTTGTAAAGGAGAGAATTAAAAAACAAAAGGTCTTGGTGCTGTGCTGAAAATGATGGAAAGGCTTTAGAGTTGGTGCTGGATTGGTGTATGCCTCTGTATCTTTTCCCTCCAAGTTTGCTCTGTCCTGAATTTCTTTCTCATCTCTTTTAGAGTCTGTCCCAGCAGAATGTCAAAGTAACTGCAGTTTCGAGCATGATGGCTGCAAAGGCAAATGCCAGCCTGCCTTCAGGGAAGAAGACAAAGACCCCTGCTGTCCCTGCAGTGAGCAGAGTGTCTGAGAGCTCAAACACTGATGAGCACAACATGCTGCCAGGAAAGGTAATGATGGAGGAGACCAAGGTGGGGAGCTTTCCTGGGGAGAGGGAGAAGATGGGTCTGCCTGGGGCTGGTGCCACATCCCCAGCTGAGGGAAGTGTTCATGAAGCCAGGAGAGAGGGGCTGCCCTATCCTGACCACAATGATCCTGCTGTGAGATGAGGCAGAGGAGCAGAGGGCAGCTCTGGTACCTTTGCTGTTCCTGGCTCCCAGCTGGCTGGCTGCTTCTTCCCTTTTGTGATAGCAGCTGTCTGCTTGGCTTGGGCTGACTGTGATACCAACTGGAGCAGTACAGCTGAAGAAGGGCCAAGATGTTTCAAGCCCATGTACTCTGGGCTGCTGCTTGTAGTTCATGGATGTGGGCAGTTACTTATTCCTCCTTCCAGATCTATTTCATCTCCCTCTCCCTAGGTCCCTGCTGCTTCTAGCCAAAAGCAAACGGTTCCAGTGGGAAAAGCTGCTCCTGCCAGCACTGCCATCCCAGGAAGTTCCCCTGCCAAGGCAAGGCAGCCAGTCCTGCAGCCAGGACAGGACACCCACCCAAGCCAGGCTGTGCCACCCACTCATGCAGAGGACACCTCAGACAGCAGCATTTCCTCCGACACTGACGAGGAGGAGGCACCCAAGGAGCCTTCCAAACCTGGTCAGTTTTCAGAAGATGCTCTCGGTGCTGCTGGGATGGGGACAGCCTTTTGTTACCCCATGGCAGGTTGGAAGTGGTTGGAGAGGCATTCCTCCTCTCTAGCCTGGCAGAGCACTCCCCCTTTTTTGGAGGCAGAAGGGCTTTTGGTGGCAGTGCCTGTGCTGGGAAGGTGAGCTCAGCCCCAGGCAGCAGTGGTTTAACAGGAGGAATTCTGCTCTTCCAGCAGGCTCCCTACAGAAACCAGGAGGGACCCAGCCAGCCCACAGCTCCTCCTCAGAGTCCAGTGAGGAGGAGGCAGCATCACAGGTATGGTATTGAGCAGGCTGGATCCTCTCTGGTCTTGCAGCTGGCTCCTAAATAGGACTGAGAGCCTCAATTCTCATCCATAGCAGAGGGGGTGCTGGGTGGATTTGCCAGCAGATTGGTGGGGGTTCCCCAGTGCAGTGGTGTGAGCAAGACCTTTTGGCAGAGAGAGAGAGAAGCTTTTGAACCTGGAATGCTTCCCCAGGCAGCCAGGCCTTGGGTCCAGGGTTCATGGTGCCTTCCTTGGGAGAAGAGACAGCAGGATATGGTGCCTTGCAAGGGTTAAACCAGAACTGGTGCACAGTGCCAATAGCAGCAGGGATTTTTTTCCCCCACTTTAGTTTGTAACTTAAGCCATGTCCAAGCCATGAAATTGCCTTTGTCAGTAACGTGCAGGGCGTGCAGCACATCTGCAGTGCATTAAGTGTGCGTGGGTGATGGCCAGGAGCCTCCCCCAGCCTGCCTGCCTTGCTGGGTGAGAACAAAGGAGAACCTCTGGCTCAGCTGGTGTCTGTCAGTGCTGGCCCCTCTCCTGGTAGCCCTGGGCTCTCAGAGCTGGCTCCACAGGTGGCCAAAGGTGGGCCCTTCACTTGAAGTATGAGGATAATAGCAGCAGAGACAGAGCTGCATGTCTGGTGTGTGGGAGGCTGCCCTGCTGTGACTCCTCAGTGTGTCTGTGCTGTTACAGTCCCTCCTCACAGGCTACCCAGTCCTCTCCAAGACCCCAGTAACACCCCATGCACCAAAGACGGTTCTCCCCCAGCCTGGGGGTGAGGTGGGGCCAGGGAAGGCAGCTGTGAGTGCTGCAAACTCCCTCACCAAGGGCTCCCTGAAAGCAGCCATGGCCAACAGCTCAAGCAGTGACAGCAGTGACTCTGACACAGATGACAACCAGGTGGCTGCAAACCACAAAGCAGGTGGGTCTCCTTTGGCAAGGCTGGGAATTTGCTTGGCCCTGGAGCAAAGCTGTGCTGGCACAGGGGGGGTGGCACTGGGGAGGGTGGGCCCTGTTCCCAGTGTGTCTCTGCCGTGGAACCCCAGCATGGAGCTCTGCTGCCGTCTGCTGGCTTCCCTGGCCACAGCACAGCCTTCACCCTCAGCAGCCTGCTTGTGCTGGCTGCCTCCAAGGCTCAGTGCCTTTGCCTCTTCCAAGATGTGCTTTAACCACATTAATGAACAGGAGCAGGTAGGGCTCTCCCTGGAGCCAGTGCACGCTGCATTGCTGGCTTCTGTGGAGGGCTCAGACACTGCCTGAAGAACATCTGCTGCACAGTGCTGGTATTCAAACCTCCCCTTGGGCTGTGTGGGCTCTGCTGCACGTCTGGAGAGCAGAGGAGGGAAAGCAAGTGAGAAGACTTGTGGAGAAACAGAATGTCCCACCCTTTCCCTGGTTTGTTGGCAAATTGTAAAACTTGGAGCTGAAAGCTGCTTCTGCTCTGGTGTGACCCTGGCACCTTCAGATGAACTCTGGCCTGCTCCAGAAGGTCAGATGGGTCTGTTGGTCCCTTGGGCACATCATGAAATTGTGCAAAGGGCTGTTGAGGAAGTCAGAGCTATCTATATAGGGGCTCAAGAGGTCCCAGGGGCTCTGGGCTTGGCCACTGGTGGTGATTGCAGGAGGCAGTGTGGGGGCCCCCACCACCTTGGGAAGTCCCCAGCTCACTGGGGATGGTGTCCTGGGGAAGGACTGCTCCATCTATGCTCACCCATCTTGTCAAACAGCCAAAGCTCTTGTGGCTGTTGTCACCCACTTCAGGCTGAGGCATCTTTCTCTGACTCCGCTACAGATGCCAACAAGTTTAGCTTTTTTTGGGAGAAGAACAGGATGCTCCTCTTCAAATGCATATTTCTATCCTCCTGTGACTAGTCTGTGTCATGAATGCTCCCTGAGTTTCCCTGTTTTTGTCTGTTTCTGCAGAAAACAACCCCCCTTCAGGGCAGGGAGCTACAGAAGCCTCCAACAAAGAGAAGGTGGCAGGAAAAACAGAGCCAGGTCATGCCAGCCTCAAAGCTTCCTCACTGAAGAAAACCCTGGCCATGAAAGAGAACCATGTTGGGGCAACAGGGGTGCAAGTGACCCCAGCATCATCACATGCCCTGCCCTCCGTCCCACAGCCACAGCAGCCAAGCTCAGGGAGTGAAACTGAGGTCACCACTGCTGCTGAAGTCCCTGCAGTGCAGACAGCAGAGGGCTCGCAAGTGAAGAAGAAGAAGAAAAAGGAGAAAAAGGAGAAAAAAGAAAAGGAGAAAAAGGAGAAAAAAGAAAAGGAGAAAAAGAAACCATCCTCCACAGCAGACAAGGCTGTGAAAACATCCAAGAGCAAAGACAAAGAGAACAAGAAGCAGAAAACGTCTCAGAAGCGGAAGCTGACGGGAGAGGATGGGGCTGTGGGGCAGCCCAAGGAGAAGAAACGGAAAGGGCAGGCTGATGAAGAAGTACCCAAAAAGAAAAAGAAGAAAGCAGATGGTGACCTGGAGAAGGTGGCAGGCAGCAAGGAAAAGAAAAAATCAGCTAAAAGTAAGCATCTACACTTGGGGCCTAGTTTGCAATAGGTTCTTGCAGCTGATGTACTTTCAGCCTCTGGTACAGGGCCTTGCAAATAGCACCCACTGTCCCACTGGCTTCCTGCTTGGCTGCTTTCCTCGTGGAATCAGTCATGTGGCTTGAAAAAGGTCTCTCAAGATCATCAAGTCCAACCATTAACCCAGGCCCATCCCCAAACCATGTCCCCACATACCGTATCTACACATCTTTTAAATGCCTCCAAGGTTAGTGACTACACTGCTGCCCTGGACAGCCTGTTCCAGTATTTTAACAACCCTTTTAGTGAAGAATTTTTTCCTAATATTCAACTTAAACTTGCCCTGGTGCAATTTGAGGCTATTTCCTCTTATCCTGTCACTTCTGCCCCTTCTACAGCTTGTTCTGTAGTGGCTTACTCTCTGCCCTAATCCAAAGGCCAGGTTTTTTCTTTACAGTGCAGCCTGTATTTGCAAATCAGAGCTGGTTTTGTGCTGAATCTGGTAGAAAGAAAATAAAAAAAAGAAAGAAAAAGAAAAATAGGGAGGGGGGATGTGAATTGGCTGAGCCAGGTCTGATGGTGTTTCTGTTCTGCTGAAACACAGCCCTTATTTTTGGAGGAGACAGACTTGTCTATTGTCCCCTGTGTGAGCTGTTTAACGGGGATGAGTGGAGCCTGTTGAGCAGTTGTGCTGAGCTGAACCTCGTGTCCATCCTGTGTCAGCAGCTCCCCTGGCTCTCATTTCTGCCATGTGCCCATCTACTCCAGCCCTGAAGCAGTTCCTTGGAGCAGGTGGGCAGCAGGAGGGGGAAAGAAGGAAATTCTGTATAATTCCACCCATGTGTGTGCACAGATGGTGGGATCAAGCTGCTCTGGCTCAGGGGTATTAGGGAAACATCCCTGGGTGCAGCTGCCTGTGGGTAGGGCTCTGCCTTCACCCAATTCCTGCTCTGGAAATCTTGCTCAGGTCTGCATGTGATTGAAATCTTAACTGGAAATGCTCCTACCAGTCTGTGCTCCTTCTCAGAGGCTGACAATACCAGAGTCCCTCTCTTAGTTGGCTTTTCTTTCCCACTCCTAGAAAAAAAGGCTGGAAAGGAAAAGAAGAGCAAAAAAGCATCTTTGGAAGGGGTGCCTGTGGCAGATGGCTCTGCTGAGGTTCACAAGAAGAAGAAGAAGGTATGTGTCACACCCTGGGCTGTGGTGCTCACCCCAGCAGGAGAAGGAAGAGAGCCATGTCCTGGTCTTGCTGGCAGTGCAGGGAAGCCCTCAGTTCACTGTGGCCAGTCTGGAGGCACCCTGACCTTTGGCTGGGGTTAGAGTGACTCAAAGGGCTTGTTCCTGTATTGCTGCCCTAGGAGATTCCTCTCCCTGGAATGCTCAAACCCAGAGACCCTTTTGGTGGCAAAGGACTTATTAGTCCTGTCCAAGGAGCAAGTGCTGCTCTCCAGCTGTCTGCTCATCTCATTCTCAGCAGAAGCTGGAGTTGCTGAGGCCTTGGTAGACTTCTGCATCCCATCCCAAGGGCTTGAGGGGTGTCAGAGGGAGACTACAGGATGTTCCTTGTGGTGGCTGCCACCTCTACAGGGACATGTCCGTGAAGCCTCTCTGGCTTTGCTGGGTCCTTCGTGTCTGTGGTGCAAATGATGCTGATGTATCTTCTCCCCTTTCCATTTTAGAAGAAGAAAGGAGCTGATCCTGAAGGATTGTGAGAAGGTACATGGCCTGTGGGGACGGCCATTGGCACCCTGAGCGGCGTAACCTTGGCCACATTCAGAACTCCTGGGCCAGATTTGGGAAGACAAAAAGAGCCCTCTGAGAGCTCCCTGAGCCAGCCTGGCCTTGGATCAGAGGGCCAGGGAGTGGAGCAGTGTGAGGAATGTCGTGCAGCCATGTGCTGGCTGCTCTGGATGTGTCTGACCTCAACTCTGTAGCTGCTGAGATGTCCAGCCTGGGTGTTGCTGACCTCTGTCACCAGCAGAGATGAGTGGCCTCTGGCAGTGTCTGTCTGTCCCTGCTGACCCCCTGTTCCAGGGAGCTTGGAAAAGTGATGGGATTAGATGGTGATGTTGTTGCCACCTCCAAGTGGACCAGATGCCTTTGCCCACGCTCTGCTCAGCTGTAAGGCTGCTCTCCTCCTCCCCATCCCTAACTTTTAACTCCTCTCCCCAAAGGTACCGCATTCCTGTGATTAAAGATTTATGGGTGAAGATCAAACAGAAGAGAGGAAAAGGAAGCTCACCTGGAGAATTCCAACTTTTTTTTTAAAATAGTAATTTATAATTTCTTTTAACTGTGACTTTTAGAACAGTTGTGTAACTTTCTGCCTCCTCCTGCCCTGCTGAGGCTCAGAGATGTGTTTATAGTCCCTCCAAATGGAATGGAAGTGGAGGAGGCAGTTTGACCAGAGCGGAGCATAAACTGCTTTTCCCCTTGTTGACACCCAGCCATCCCTTCTCTTACCACAGAGCTATATTTTTGAGGAAAACTTTTACCTTTTTTTCCCCTCCTCCTGTGACTTGTGGTGTCAGTCCTTTTGCTACTACAAAGAAAGCTCTCGGGTTTCCTTTTTATTCTAACACTGACAGTGGTGATTATCATGTCCCTGGAGTTGCACTGAACAGTTGTGTCTAGCAGCTGTTCTCAGCTAAGGCAGAGTTGGTTTTTGTGTTGTTTTTTTATGAAATACAAAATAAAAAACAACAAACAGATTTTTCTTCCGCTGCTTTCAGGGGAGGCCAAGGCTGGCTGGCTCTGGAGGGTGTTATGGGTGGGAGAGCAGAGCCCAGGGTCTGCCTGTCTGGGGCAGGAGGACCCCAGGGTCCCAATGAAATCAAACAAGGGATGGGATAAGGAACACAGCCAGTCCTGGGTGGAGACACAGCTGTCCAAGTGCCTGCAGAGATTTTTCTTTATCTCTTTTTTGTGAAGTTTCATTTCTTTATAACCTCAGACAGCTGCAAACAGCACACGAAGCTCTGCTGGAGTTGCTTACAAGGCTTTGTTATTCAAAAGTTTATTTGAGATTATTAGCTTGTGAGATCATTTGTAAAGGAACAATCAGATATATTCAGGAAAATGAGAAGCACCTCTGCCTATGCTTACCCACTGCTGAGGCTGTAGGCGAATCTCTATGTACAAATCTGAGCACTCCAGAATAAAAACCCATTTACTCCAGGAATCTAACAGGGCTCCAGCCTACAGCAATCAGTTAAGAAGCTGGTGGGGGTTATTTTGCTGCTTTTAATATCTATTCAGCCTAAGGAAGCTTAAGTTCTTCAGCAGGGGTGAGCTGCACTGCTGCCTGGGTGTTGTTGGAGGTCAAGTCAAAGAGAACAGGATTTATGGATCTGAGGTGGTTGAAATCATTTTCCAGCCTGCTCGACCCACCCTCTGAGGGGACTCTGTCTGATGGTGGTGGCAGCTGTGCAGCCAGGGAAGGGTGCCCAGGGATGCCCACTGTTAACTGTCTTGGAAAAGCAATGTAAGAGCAGAAAAAGAAAAAATTATTCAAAAATTAGCCAGGATGCTGAAGGAGCCGGGATGCTGAAGGCAACTGCTGGCATCCTCTTCTACTTTTCTGTGGGAGAACAAAAGGAGGTACTCAGTAAAAGAGCTTGAGGACTTCCCAAAACCCCTCTCCAGCAGTCCCCAGGACTCTGGGGCTCTTGGACACTCACCTTTGCTTGGGTTCACACGTCGACCCCAGAGAAGATCATCTCCTCTGGGTCTGGGGTGCCAGCAGCAGCACTGGGAGCAGCAGTGCCTGCAAAGGGAGCGCAGGATGTGGGTGCTGGACCCTGGGGCTGCCCCATCACCCACCCCCATCCCTCTGAGGGCAGCAGGGGAGAGCCTGCACCCAGGGCTGAGTGGGGGGCAAGGGGGGCTCATGGAAAACCCTGATTACTGCACAGCTCAGCTGCAGCTACCCATGGGGGGCTGTCGGTGTTGGGATCCCTCCAGGCCTTGACATACTGGCACTGGATGGGTGAGGGGTGCTCCCTGAAGCCTGCATGCCCACCTCTCCTAGCTCTACTCCCAAGCAGTCCATGCACATTACTCCTTCCTCCCTGGCCACCTACCGGGGCAGTCCAGCTTTTCCCGAGTTTTAGTGCCATTAATCTCGGTGCCATTTTTGTAGCAGCACCAGCAGAAGCCGCTGGAGAAGTTGCACTGCTTGGGCAGGTAGTCGCCGTTCTCATCGCACTGGGGGCGGAAGTGGCCCAGCAGATCACTCCCAAAAGCTGCCTCTGCTTGGCACTTAGTTTGCACTAGGGCAATAGAAACGGAGGGGACACTCCATCAGCCCCCAGGCCCTTCCCCTCAGCAGGAGGTTCTGTCCACAAACAGTTAAAGGTGAACAAGCCCCTGCTCGGGGACCTTTCTGAGGCTCTTGGTCTGACCAGGGATGGAGGATTTGAGGTGGGGCTCCAGCCTTTTGTTCACCCCAAATGCCCTACAGGCAGAGATGTTCTGTGATGTCCTAACAGCCACAAAACAGGGGTTCCCCATACAACAAATAGGTCCATGTGAGATATCCCGTGCCACCATCTCCCTGCCTGTGCCCAGCTCTGCAGCCCCATCCCCAGTACCTTTCTCTGCTGGGATTGTCTTGCGGTCCTCAGACTGGGGGTTGTTGGCCATCAGAAACAGCAGCCACTTGTGCAGCCAGGACTCGAAGGACTGCAATGAGAGGGTCCAGCACATTAATGGGCATGGGGGAAGTTCAGCCCAGGGGAGCCATGTCCTGAGCTCTGGCTTGGACAGGGAAGGTGGTGAACACCATCCCCTCCTCTGGGTGGGAGCAGCCCAAGCCTGGCCAAGGCCAGACTGTTCATCCTGATAAATGTCCCTTCCCAAAGCACTCCTGGACAGGAGGCAGGTGGGACAGGATGACAGTGACAAGCACTGACCTTCCAGTCCATATGATTCATGGTGCTTCTCAGGTGCTTCAAGTTGTCCATCAGGTTGTCCTTCAGCTCCGGGAACTTCCTGCTGGGGTCTGCTTGCTGTAGAGCAACCACCACAGTGAGGGCAAAGAAAAATGAGGTGGGGGGGTGTGGGTTTGAGTTCTGCTGGTATCAGCCAGACATGCTGCAGGAGGTCAGAGCTCCCACCAGCTCTGAGCACCCTGAGGGACCCCAGACCAGCAGGGGACCTTACCAGCAGCAGGTGCTTCACGATGTCCTCGGTTTTGTTGCTAGCAGGGGCCTTGAACTTAAGAGAAAAGGCAAAGGGGCACTGTGAGCACGGCAGCAAGGCCTGAGGGCAGCAGGAGTGCCAAGCAGTGGTGGACTTCTCTTACCGAAATGTCTTCAAAGGATGATGCAGGATGCAGGACATTCATGACCAGAGGTGTGTTTGCCTTGGCCATCTTCATCTTACTCACTGGCTTGGCATCTGCCGAGGAAGGAGAACTGTGAGGGGACCCAGCCGGGTTGGGTGGTCCTGGAGGGTCCTGGAGGGATTCATCCCCTCTCCCCCTCCACCTCCCAGCACTCTGGTGCCCATGGGGCTACTGACTGGCAGGCAGCTTCCTCTGCAGAGCCTCCAGCTGCAGGTTCTGGGAGGTCTTGGTCAGCTTGCTGATCTGCCCGCTCTGCTGGTACACGTAGTAGACGGTGACAGCCTGGCCGGCGATGAGCAGCGCCACCAGGATGGAGAGCGTGGAGAAGGCGGCTTTGCGCCCCAGCGCAGACCTGCGGGACACGCACAGGGAGCTCAGCCGCCCAGCGGCAGCAGGAGGTGACATCCTGCTGTCACCCCCTCCCGGCCCCAGACACTCCTGTCCCGAGGGTTTGCAGCCAGACAAATGCAAATTCCCCCATCGCAGAGAGCAGAAGTGAAACCTCAGCACCCCTCCACACCGGGAAGCGAAACCCACAGGGGGGGCGGGGGAAGGGGGGACACGGGAGGGGGACCGAAGGACCCGGGACAGGGGATTTTGGGGAACGGCATCACTCTGGGCATCGCCTTCTGCGGGATGATGAAGCCGCTTGGAATCTCGCTGGTCCATGGGGCAGAAGACACGACTCATTGGATGTTGTTTAAAATGTTGTGCCAGATCCTGCCCCGCTGGCTGAATGTGGCGCTGTCGAGCTGCAGCGCTGCCCGGAGGTCGCCCCCTGTCCCCGCGGCCCGGGGACGAGCGGACCCTGCCCGGCGCAGGGACAAGTCCCGAGCGGGACGCGCTGCGCGGGCGTCTGCCTGGCGACTGGTGACGTCAGAGCGCCAGGGCTTCTGATTGGCTGCAAGTTTTGGGTGGGGTGTCCCCCGCGGGGGTTGGGACATAGGGAAGAGTTGGGACATGGGGGGGCAGCCCCATAAAGCCATTCGGTTCCAGGGTCCGCTCCTGCCCCATGGCCACGCCGTCATCCTGCCTGTCCCACAGCCTCTTCCCACAGAGCTGCTTCCCCCAAAGCTTCAAGCCATGGCTCCCACCCTGTGAGCCCGGCCACCCCACCGCCACGCCTTGTCCCCTTGGCCCAGCGGTGCAGTGACCCCTTTCATCCCGCTGCCACCCCGTGCCCTCCCAATCCCACAACCACCCAATTCCCCCATCCCACAGCCGCCCCATGTTCCCCTCCCACTGCCACCCCGTGCTTCCCATCCCACCGCCAGACAATTCCCCCCATCCCACAGCCCCCCCGTGCCCCTGCCTTGCCTCACAGACCCTCCCACGGCCCTCTTAGCTCCACAGTGCCCCATTCCCACAGCCTGCGCCCCATCTCCTGCGCCATAGTCACTCTGTGCCCCCTTGACCCGACTGAATCCCCTTCCATCCCACAACCATGCAATACCCCCCTGTTCCACGTTCTCACTGCGCCCACTTTGCCCTCCCCGTGTGCCCCATCCCCGTGTCCCCAGCAGTGGCACCTCTGGGTGTCCCCAAGGCTGAGCACACCGCTGGCGCGGTCAGAGATGAGGTCCCTCTGCTCCTCAGCCATGGCTCCGCTGGGCTCCCCGAACACAATGAGCACCTCGAGGGAGGCTTCTGGAAATACCCTCGGGTCCCCACCCCGCCCTGACACCCGGGGGGGGAGGCCAAAAAAAAAGTGCTATTGGCTGCTGGCACTTGCATCACTCGTTGTCAGGCAGAGCTCTGCTCCAGAGGTCTCCAGTTCAGAAATGATGCTGGGCACAGTCCTGAGCTCCACAGCCGCTCTGTGGGGCTTCACTGCCCACCCCACGCCACCAGCAGGTCACCGTGCCCAGCTGGTGACACCGGTGCCAGGGGCCCAGAGGCCCTGGTACCCCCAGGGAGGCAGGAGGTGAGAAAAGGGGGGTGGCAGTGGGGAGGTGAGAGGAAAGGTGTGAGGAAGGAAGTGAGGTGCAGAGCTGGGACAGGGGGGTGGGACACCTGGGGAGGACCCCCACACCAAAAGCTGAGCAGGACCCTCCGTGGGGGCAGAGTGCCAGGGTTCATCCCTCCTGCCTGACCCCCTCCCCTGCTGCTGGGGAAAAGCTGCACTTGGGCTCAAGCCCCTCCTTGAGGGTCACTCTGGATCCTCCCTGTGTGGGGGTTCTTGGCCAGCACTTCTCAGGCTGAGGGGGCAGTGGCTAAAGGATCAAGGCTTTCAAGCCCTCCTTCCTTCTAGCATTACCCTCTTTGCTTTGCCTGCAGCAGCTTCCAGGGGCTGAACCCCCAAAGCCAAGAGAGCAGGAGCAGCCCCTTGATGTGAGCGATCCCAAAGCACCAGGGGGAGTGGGGC